TCGAATGGGACTAGACAGACCTCTGGTAAACCCACTTTGAATATGTTTTTCACTGACAAGTCACAAAATGCAATTATTAAAGCTGAAGATATTGGATGACTATCTCCATAAATAAGATTAAATCACTAATCACGTCAGAATCACATTCTCACTTTGAAGAAAAATTTCTCTTGGATATATCAAAATTGTTTACCAAATTATTTTTTAATTTTTTATATATTTTATGAGTGGATAACAAAAAAAAACTTAGATCCACCAATCCTATTTCAACCCCGTGAATCAGAAACGAAGTGGGAACTCTTGTTCAGTTCTAATCTTCCAATTAATCTAGAAGTACTTATCTGTAAAATTGTATCAGCAGGAGCTTGGTATGATGCTGGGATGACTCAAGGTGGTAATGCCTTAATTCCCATTACATCGCTCCTAATTTAGCGGCCTGTTTAAGGCACTATGGTTACCAACCGTTACGAAAGGTCAGTGTCTGGCTTCTGCTAAATCGTTCACCTATTCCAGGCAATAAGTGCTGGTGGAACCAACAGTGCTTTTACAGTGATATTTTAACTTCTCAAACAACAGACAAAGAGCTCTGACCACAATGTCGAAACTCGATCTCGTGGAATTTAGGCAATCATATCTCGAAGACCATTTGCGCAATTACGAACTCCAAGTTGATCCTTTGCTTTTGCTGAGGGCAAATGTGAGAATATGGAATTGGAACACTCTGACTTGTACTGTTCTCATGCACCAAGTACTTTAAAACAATTCACATATTTATTAGCTATTGGGTTCTACCGACTCACAGCTAGAACATCATGTTCAGTGAGTCGAATCATGAATTTTTTTCATTGTGATGAGCATAAAAGTCTTTTCAGTGGAAACAGCGGCACTAAACTTAAGATGGGGTACATCCCATTTTTATTTTTTTTTAATTTCTGATCTTCTTGCAAAGACTATGGTCCGTCTGTTGTCGGCATGTCTCAGGTCAAAATACAAAAACATAATAATAAATAGAAATGGAGTTGCTTCTCATGTTCTTGATCACTACTATATATATATATATATATATATATATATTACCTTTCTACGTATAGATATGTAAACAAAATTATTTTTTTTCATGTTTTGCTTTATTTTCCAGAGATGGGCTTCTAAATATCATGAAGTATTTCCAGTTTATAATCTATTGTTTTGAAAGTAAGTTCATGTAGTTATCTGTTTAGGGTTTAAATTCTAGCACTCCTAATTAATGATGATCCAAAGCTTGACCAAATACACCCTCAAAAAGTGAAAAACAATAAAATTTAAAGGAAAAATTTTTTAACACTCCCAAAATTTTCTCCTATATATATCTTCAAAGAGTAAAAAATAAAAAAATTTAAAGTAAAATTTTACCTACACATCCCAAATTTTTCTCTTTAACATATTTTATGTTAATAAAATCTGTAAATCCATCACCGTTTATATATATATATATATATATATATATATATATTATAAGTGAATACAAAAAATTTTTTTTTTGAATCTGTCATTATCTGAAATCTCATTCTCTATCCCAAATTGCAGCTTCTTGTTGTAAAAAAAAAAAAGATTTTGCTGTTTGTACTTTGGAAGTTAAACTAATTTTGTTAATTACTTGAATACTGTTGTGCTATGAACTGACATTGCTGAATATTTCAATGTTTTAGCCTTTAGGGTTTCTTTTACTAGCTTATTTTTTAGGTGTATAAACCCTTGTTTTAAGATAAAATTCTATGCTTAGATTTCTTTTTGATCTTATAATTGTAAATATTTAAAGGGAAATAAATAGGAATAGTTTCATTTTCCCTTAATTTCAAAAAATGTTTTGATAATTAAGTTTGGGTCACCTCTTTATTTGGATAATTCTTTTTGCATGCACCATATTAGCGACAGCACAGGGGATTTTTTTTTTTTTTTGCTTTTCCTTTTCCCTTTTTTTTTGGAGGGTGAGTGGGAGTTATCGCATGATCCAATTTAAAAGAAGGCAACATTTTGAAATATATGCATATTGTTAGGATTATTATTTTTGCTTTTTCTTTCTTTTTTTTTTAATAAAAGAGATTGTTGCTTGAGAAAAGGGAAATGAATTGAAGATATTAAAATTTAAATCTTAAAATTATTAAACGTCACCTCGTAATAAATGAATTAATTAAGTTAAGCTTTATTTTTTCTTTGTTATAGCACTACTGAAAGTAATCGAAGCAATAACGGATTGATCAACACAATACATTATTTTTTCTTCTTTGCACAATTATTGGTAAGGTGTTTATTCGATTAGTTTAGTTAACTTTGAATCGAATTAATTAAAATAAAATTAATCAAATTATATTATTTTATTTTCATTAATTGAATTGAATTTATTAATTTTAAAAATTAACAAATCGAATTAAATTCAACCGATTTGGTTATTTTTTTGTTAACCAAATAATAAATATATTTAAATTAAATTACATTTTAAGCTCTTAATTTCTCATATTTTAAATAAACTAAATAAAATTATCCAACTAAATATTTAAATACCAAAATATTATGTCAAAAACTCTAACAACTTATAAAATAAAATGATCAATATTATGTATTTTTTGTTTTATATTTAGATTTTGTTATATTTTGATTAAAATTTCAATTAATTCAGTTTTTTAACCGAATTATCCTAAAACCGAAAATTTTTTAAATCATTTTGGTTAGCTAATCAAAATTAATTCAATGATTGATCGATTAGCTAAATTAAATTAATTTGATTAATTAAAATTGAATTTTGAGCAACCTTAGCTACTAATATGCTATTTTACCTTACGAGAAACATAAATTGGGGAATTGATTTTTTTTATGCAAAAAAAAAACCATAGTACGAAGAAAAAAAGATTGAAAATATTAAGATTTGTACTCAAATTTATTAAATGATATCTTAAAAGATGACTGCATAAATTAATTAAGTCAAACTCCAAATTTAAATTTTGATTTCTTTTACTAATATGTCATTTTGTAGATTCAAAAAATGAAGACTCAAGCAAATGTGATTGCAGCACCATTTGCATTTTACCCTAGGCCTCTTAGCAACTATCTTTTTTATTTTGTTTGGAACTCTTCATTTTCGTTAATCACTTTGAGTTATAATTAATTCGAAACCTAGCTAATTCGGATCTTATAAAGGGGTAAACTCTTTCAATGCTTGTCTTCTCTATTCATAGAATTTGAAATCAAAATTTTGCTTAAGAGAAATCGAGCTCCTTAACCACTCGCACCAACAAATGTTGGTTTCTTAGCAAGTATCTTTGCAGTCATCTTAGGTATGTCTGAGCCCCAAAACATTCATTTCTGTATGAGTTGTGATTGTCTTAATGTAAGTTTATTTTGGCTTGCAGCAATTCAGGAGTTTATATGAAAACATGCAGCTCCTGAATTCGCACTTGTCGCATTAATTGTCCATAAGCTTTTATAGTGTGGTGAGCAACAATTAACAGCATTATATACTATTCTGCTCGATCTACTCAATTTCTTGGCAATATAAAGCTTGTTCTATCCTTTACTCTTGAGTGTTGAACGTCGATGTCCCTCTCTTGAAAACTCGCATCATTTTACAATCAATAGAAATGTTTTGAATGCTTTGTACTCCAAGAGTATGATGGCAATAGGTAGGGATGTGATTAATTTTTACTCGATATTTATAATATTTGAATTTGATTATTTTTTATTTTTTATATTTGAATTTAACTTGATCACATATTATATAAAATTATATTTAATTTAACGTAAAATTAATAAAATATTATTTTTAATATAAATATAAAATTAAATAAATATATAATTAATTAAAAAATAAATTTATATATATATATATATATATACTTGTTCAGATTAAATCAGATTTGTTTAAAATTCAATTCCAACTTTATTTTACAATTAATTAACCTGACTTAAAATCTGATTTTTTTTTTATAAAAAATTAATCTTAAAAAATTGGATTGAATCAAAACCGATTTAATTGGACTACTATCTTTATCCATGAGGTAAATCCATATATATAAGTAGGATGTTCATGAACACTTTCAAATATTAAAAAAAAAAATTGAATAAAATTTTTTCTTTGAATATCCTTTCTACTGATAAACTTGATAAATCCGTCGGATGGTTTTTTATATATTATAAATGAAAACTCTCCGAAAAAATCTTAGATATCCGCCACTGTTCATGCCACGTGCATACAATAATTTTTTTTTTTTTTCAAACTAATTGAGATTGAGGCCTTTCAATGTCTTTGCAGCTCTATCTGTAAGGCTGTTGTTGCTAACTGCTGTCGCGAACGTTAAGTTTCGGGATAGCTATACCTACTTTCATAGCCTGATGCAATGGAAGAAAGCCAAGGTCTGGTACAGTGGCCGATCAAGCATTCATTAGCCAAGGCACGAATTTTCCATCAGTTTATTTTCTCGTTCAGTCACGAATTTCCCATTTGCCTGTGACGTTGACAAACTAACACATTCTGGCAAGTCTATTAGCCAAGGCAGAAACAAAAGGTCGATACCAAAAACCGACAACAATAAATCTTTTTCATTGGGGTTAATTATATTTTTAATATCTGAATTTTAAAAAATATATAAATTGATATTTAAAAATTTATAATTTTAATATTATTAACTTAATTAACCTATATGATATCTAATTAATATAATTATATCATATATATATGTTATTTATTAAATAAAAATATTAAATATTTTGTAAAATTTCATGTGAATGTCAACAACAAATTACAAACAATTAATCAATCCACAACCCTAAACAATTTTTACTGTTTTAAGTAAAAAATATATTTTTAATTTATATAAAAAATATATAAATTAATACGAGACTAAAATTTAAATTATGATATAGTATGCAAACTACACATTTTAATTCTTTAAATTTTAATTTGCACATTTACTCAAAGTTCAAGCATAAAAAATGTAATTAACTTTTTTCAGTTAGATAACGTTGCTAATTTCTATCTTATGCCTTGATGATTGAATGATTGAGTACATGGATCAGCAGAGAATTTTCATCAAGAAAAAAGTTACATCAAATTTATACTAATATTCACAAACAAGCATCTAGGCATTTTACTATACAGCTAAACTAATTCTACAATATGTACAGCATTGTCTTCTAAAATTCTATACCAAACAAAGAAGACGATATGCCAGGATGATTAAAATTTAGAGAAAGATGAAAGAAAGCAGAATACTTCATTTATGCTTTGTCACAACAGGAAGGAATTTGTTATCCTTCCTCAGCCATAGGGTAGAGCGTGTTCTCCTAACATGATCTGCAAAGAGTCGATGCCTGCCAGTGGATAAAAAGTGTGTAAGGAAAGCAACAAATGCAAACAACAATAAACCCATCAGAGAACAAATCGTTAGATAAATCGCTAGCATGGTTCCGTGAACAAGAAAGTTACAAAAATGATCCTAGTCACGAAGGCCTTGACAAACATTTGGGTCGGCACGATGAGTTTTTTATATGATGTGCATGGTTGACAGCCCTGCTACTTGGTAACAAAAGCAAAAAGAACCGAACAGACTGATATCTCCTAATTATAGTACCAACCTCTCATAATCAAGTTTCTGAGTAACTATTCCATTCAGTAGCAGTTCTGAGCTGTAAACTGCTACCCCTGAAAGCATAAAGGCAAAGCAGATCTAATAAAAACGAAAATCCACAACACTCGTAAGTAACTAATTCAAGAAAAGAAAACATTTGTAACCTTTTTCAAGAAAAGGAACACAAATTGCATAATCTTCTTCACATGATAGAACCAACAAATCATCTGAGACTTTGTCATCCTTCATGGCAGATCTGCCAATTCTTTCTATAGCCTGGAAAGAGTCTCGATAGAAATCAGCATAGAAAAGGAGAAAGATGCAAAGTAAAAACACTATGGGTTGGCAGGTCAACCGAGAGAGAGAGAAAGAGATGCAAAATCATGCAAAGAAGAAAAAAAAGGAACATACATCACCCAACACACAATATTAATATAAAGTTTCATGATATAAACATCTATGGCAGAATACTCATTCTAACCAACAGATTACGAACAAAAATAAATCTAGTCTTTTTTGTATGCTACTCTGAAGGAATTGTCTAGGGAACTGGCCACATACCTGACCATGAACAGCTGTAACCAAACGCGAGATTGTTTCTTTACCCGGCTTCGTATTTGGGGTAATCAGAACTCTTCGACCCTGTATAACTTTCACCATAGTTAAGATCTAAATGGAACACGTGGCCAAAGCAATAGGTAAACCTAGATACTTTTACCTGTAATAAGGGTCGCTTGCATGCACGTGCTAAAGAAACTGGCATGCAAAAGCCAAGCTCTTTCTCTTTTTTGATGTCCCTCAATACATAAGCTTCTTCATCAATGTGAATATTAACCTGTCCAATGCTTTCAAGCCATAAATGTGTGACAACTGGTTTGCCAGAAGCAATTGCTTCCAACATATTCCTTGTGCGCACAAATTTATCAGTTACAAAGTGTGTTGCATCTAAAATAGATGGTGCCTCAGAGATACATAGGCGGGCCAAGATCTGATGACAGAATAGGGGCATAAGATTTAGTTAGACCAGCTCGTATATCATTAAAGAGCTAATGATATCATAAACAACTAGTACCTTTTTCTGCTGTTTAATTATATCCTCATCTAGGTGGTTGCTGAATAAAACTCTAACATTGGCCAAATCCCTTCTCTTCCTCGTATCTTTTAGAGGAGAAATAGGTTCTGGCTCAGTGGGGCTTAAATTTCTAAGTTCTTTGATAATTGAAGATTTTGACAGGTTCTTCTTGCATGATTGTTTAAAATATTCTTCACCCATACAAACAGGTGACGCAGCATTGACAGGCGTCGGACAGATAACTGGTGTAGTGCATACAGAACCAGGTGATTTCGATTTCTCTTTTGGTGATCTATCAGAAGCAACATTCACAGCTACACTTTCTGCATTTGGTGAAGAAACTGCATCATGGTTTCCATCAGAATGCTTGGCTGCCTTTGCTGCCTCAGGCCCAATTATGCTTGTAGATATCATCTTCCCATTCATCTCAGTAGAATTGCAATTAAGTGCATCATCCCCTGAACCTTGTTTATCTGAACTTTGATGAGACAATTTTCCTTCTGAATTCTGGTCTGCAAAATACGAAACTGGACAAGTGTTCACAGATGATCGTGTTATCCTCCTAGTGGATGAATGAATGCAAGTGCTTCTATTGTTTCTTCTGGACCTTTTGAACACGGCAATGGATTGTCCATTGTCTTCTGGCTGAACTGATATTTTGGACTGTGCTTCCAAGTTATCAGATTCACCAACATCAACAGACATTTTCTGGCGGGATCTTCTTTGTTTGGGATAGCTCAATGCAATATTGCCATTACTTCTGACAATCAACTCCAAATGCAATTGGTCATTATTACTTGATTTGACATTTCCATGTTCTCCAGATTGATTGGAACCCAACTTAGAAAGTTTCCCTTTAGCATTTGACACTTCAGATAACTTAACATCTGTACTCCCAGTTCTATTTTCTTGAACCAAACCAACCTCTTTTTTATGTTTTCTACCTCTTCTACAATCACTTGCTGGGGTCTTAGCCATTTGCATATTCAGGACCAAGGACTGCCTTGTTCGACAAGCAATGGGTTTAAAAGTATGAACCTCCTCAGGATTCCGTTTCTTAATTGAGCTGCCCCTGCTTGATCTTCTAGTTCCATGAAGTTGTCTACTTTCCAAAGCTCCACCTACCTTTCTTTGCTTGATACTTTTAGAGGGTGTCTTGTACATATCAATGCCACCAGAAATCTGGTGCTCATCAGCGTTAGATTTAGCTTTCTTCATTTTTGGCAGAAGCAGCTCTGTATCACACTCTTTCCTGGCATCCTTTGAATGTTTCTCCTGCAGAACAGAAGACCCTTTTCTTGACTTAGTACTCTTAGATCTCACAACTGGAGCAGCATCAGAACAACATACACCCTTTCCCAATGTGGGTTCTCTAGAAGAAGCTCTCTTCCTAGATTTTCCTTTAAATGAACCTTTAAAGGAATCCTTAGATATGCTTTGGACACCTTGATTAGCATTTTCGTCGGTAGGCCCCTCCCCATAGAATAACGCTTCCATAGCTTCAGCAGCCATCTGAGTGTCAAAACCTATATTTAGTACCTCAGAAGCGCCTATCTTTGCAGCGGCAGCTACCAATTGTCCACTTGAGGAATCTGAATTAAACTGTTCATCAAACTCATTGAAAAGATTCTTTCTAAAATTCATTTGACGTTCTCGCACTGGCTTGTCATTATCTTTAGACTTGCCCAACAATAACTTTGAATCAGAATGAACCATCATTTTCTCATGGGCATTTGGTTGGTCTTCCTTACAAGATTCATCTAGTTTCCTTCCTTTAGGCTTCTGGGGGTGGGTATGAGACTTCCGTGCATTGCTTCCATTACCATAGAATTCTTCCTTCCTTCTACGATAAAAATTACCTCCTCCTTCATCCTCCAGAAAATCATCCCAGTCAAAAATCCCTGTTTTACCACCTGTGCTTCTTTCATTTGTTTTCTTCACCAAACTCTGTGGCCCTTTTGTACCAGAAATAAGTTTTGATTTACCCTCAGTACTCTTTGCAAGATCAACTTCATCATCAAGTTCCATCAAATTATCATTTACAAACCTTTCCACAAAATTAAGTGCATTAGCTTGTGATAACTCCCCAGGTTCTTGAGAGTCAATATAACTTAAACCTGCTATTGGACCATCACAATCAGGAAACTGAAGCAAGTCTTCTCTTGCATCTGCACTTTCATTGCTGCAAGAAAGCCCTTGATTTTCAGCAAAATAATCCTCAGCAAAAAGTTTTCTCACAGTTGAACAACCAACACTGGAATTGATTACACACCTTAACCCAATTGAGCTCTTATCATACTTCCCCTGATCATGTGCCTGGTTAATCTTCTCCATGACTTTAGGATTTAAACCATTACTATCAGCCGTGCACTTGTCTGAAAACTGACTATCAGTCTGGGTAGAACAAGACTCACCGTTCATTGCCTGTAATGCTGCATTATGAGCTGCAAGACCATAGGCCCGCAAGGATGCTGCACGAACTGAAGTAAACCTTAGCACAGATCCTATAGAAAATAATTAATGTTAATAGAGAAATGGAAGGAACAGGTATCCAATACCAACATTAATTACCACAATCTTTTAATGTTGGAAGATGAAATAATAATGCTTCCAGATGCCAATTACTTATAGAAGTTAACTTCCTTTAAGAAAATGCTTTGAAAAGAGAATGTCACTCATCAAGATCAGTAACTCATCATCCTAGTCAGTCTACGTTAAAACAAAAATAATGTGGAAACATCAATGAGATACAGAATTTATCTCAGTTATTTCCTCAGGGAATTCCAAAATTTTTCTCTGCAACAAATGTGTATTCACTCATGAAGGCGGCTTAATCTTGCACACAAATTTTATGACAACTGATGCAGTGTGAGCACAAGGATAAACAAATGTGCTTCAAAAATTTATCAGACTTCTTCATCAAATTGCTAAGTGATAAGTATCACTTAAGTTGACAATGACTAGTTGATTTAAACAGAAACCATGCTTTACTCAGAAATTCTTAGAAAACCTTGACATTAGTCATGCATTTGTAACCATTCAGAATCCCAAGAAATTATACCGGATTTCGGTTCCAGCACAGCTTTGACATCAGGTGTTGCTGTAGAAACATTGAATCCTGAAACACACAGCACATCTTAAGTTCAATTAAGAAATTTCATGGTGTGCAAAACATACAGGCATTTCTAGCCAATAATTCAATAAATTCATAAAAGGTTCAGAAAAAAATATACTCGAACTCTTCTGTTCATCAGTAGAGGCATTACATTGCTCCAAAGATTCCCTCTTTTCCTCCTGGCCCAATGATTGACCACAATCTCCTCTTACTACCTCATCATTGGAGACCTCATCACCATCATCCAAAACCTCAGTTGCTTCCGTTCCTTCACCGTCACCATCACCATCACCATCCAGAGCAACTTCTTCATCAAATTCGTCCAACAACTGCGTATCCATATTCTCAAAGCAATCTAAATCATCCAACACCTGTGTCTCGCCGCCAAAGTTCAACACTTGTGTTTCCCCAACAAGGTTCAAAACTTGGGTCTCGAATCCGTCCTCGACTGGAACATTGCTATCATCGAAAGAAACCGTACTTTGTAGATGGCTCAATTCATCACCATTATCAATATCAGCTTTGTCACCTTTTTTTTTTTAAAACCCATATTTCATATAAATAATTAGTATTTCACATAAAATTCAAATAATTTAAAGCATAAAGAACTAATAGGAAATTTTTTAAAGGAAAAATTAAAAGAAAAAAATTGCCTTGATATTAACCTGAAAAAAAAATCAAAGATCGAGGGGAACATACCAGAAAGTGGACGACTGGGAAACTGAGAGTCAAAGTCAAAGGGCTGAGTCTCGGCATGTGAAAATCGATGCTTGGTTTCATTTCAGAGGGTTTAATTTCGCCATTGTTGTCTCCAAGAGAGCCCATTTTTTCACCTCAATTTATCTGCGAAATTAAATAAAAAAAGGCTAAATCGACATTAAATCCCTAAAAAGCAGAGACTTTTTACACATAGGTAAAGATGGAAATTTTAAATGAAAAATATTGGGGGCTAAAGCTAAGAAAAATATTGGTGGAATGGAAATAAGAACTTATCAAGGAGAAGTTAGAGAAGGAAGCAGAGAGAGAGAGAAAAGGGGATTAGGGTTCCAAAACAGGAGGGAATAAAGGGGAGGGAGATATGGGAAGATTTTTTGGAGGGAAAATTGAAGCAAGATTTGGGAGAATTTCATTGAGATTGAGACAGTTGAATAAAAAAGAACAAAAAACCTGGGTTCATGTTGTAGACAGTACTGTTAGTGTTGAAAAGTAGCAGACAAAATATTCTTGATGTCCTGTTGTGTTTTCCTTTTTCAGCTATACAGTGAAAAGAAAAAGTAAAAGAAATCCCATAACAACGGGCATTTGGTCTAGTGGTATGATTCTCGCTTAGGGTGCGAGAGGTCCCGAGTTCAATTCTCGGAATGCCCCCTTTTTCCTTTGACCCCGCCACTCCATGATGAGATGACAATGGACAACGTTACACAAAAGAGTCAAACTGGTTGATGTTGTAAGATACTAGGGTTGCTGTTAACGCATCAATACTCGGATGAAGTTTAAATTTGAACCACTCAATATATCAATTCAATTCATGTGCTCTAACATTATGCTTAAATAGTTCATAAACTTAATCAAATTTTTAATATATTATTATTTAATTAAAAACTTATTATTTATAATATATATATTAATTCGAATTTAAGTTCAAATTTAAATACCTAATCAAATTTAAAATTGAATACGAAAATCGAACTCATTTTTTTATTAGACGAACTTAGATAAATTCGATTTTTATTTTGAATCAAATTCGAACTTCAAAATTAAAATTCAATTAAACTCTAGTTAAATTTTAAAACAATAAATTTTAAAGTCAAGTTTCTCAATATAATTCGATTCGTTTACACTCTAAACAGTTCCTTCGACAAATTGGCCAGAGAATTACATTCAATGCTCAAAACTCAGAAGATATTGATGTTACATTTCACATCAAAACATGATTCAATGCTATTAAGCACTTTAAGTTAGACCCAAGTAATTGAGACTCTCCCAGAGTTGTTCTGTTCTAGACATCAGTCTAGTGGGAAAAGTACCCTCTGAACGGAAGAGCATGTAGTGTACAAAAAACATAAAGAGACAGCATCAGACTTCTTAACTTGCTACTCAAAACTAACAAGAAAAATAATAAACAGGCAATGCCGCAGGATCAAGTTCCCAGAATCCTCTTAGGCTGCCATTTCTCTCTTCGGTTAGCTGGAAAGACGGAATCTGATGAGAGAACCTAAGCTGATACGTCTGAGTGATTTCAATTGTAACATTAGATCCCCCTTTTACTTGGGGCTTGAAAACAGAATTGAAGCCACCGACACGCTCTAAGATTAAAACCTTTCTGCACCATTCAGTTTCCTCAATAACCTGCCCTATATCATATTCCCAGTTCTCCAAGTCAGAGCATTTAATATTAGGAGTCCAGTTCCTATACAATGCCCAGATCTCACCTTTTCTAGGTAAGATGGCATATTCATCCTTCCTACCAGTAGGTTCTGCTTTTAACTTATGAGAAAAGGAATCGGTAGAGGTATAGACCTGGGAACCCCTTTTAATCCTAAATCTCCCACAACAAGAGGGCATGTTTGTATCATACCAACCGAGTACTAACTGCGATATGCAAGGAAGAAGCCATCTCACGTGTATTTTGAAAACTGGCTTGGATTCAATTTTCTTAATCTCACCATAATACTTTGGCAAGCCATCCTCATCACAATACAATGCCCAGATCTGACCAATGACAAACTTTTCCGGGGATTTATCAGTATCAAAATTGTAAAATTCTGATTCTGGAATTTCAAAGGCATTTGAGGTTGAATCAGGAAGAGCAGTTTTACCAGATCCCATCATTGGCTTCACTATTTCTGAATTACTTGAAAATGAACTATCAAGATGTATGCTATCACAGTCCACCTTCAAGTCCTTGGGAACAACAATTTCTTCAGGCAAAGAAGCTGGATCGAGTTCAAAGGAACCCTTTGGCAACCCTTTTCCCTCTTTACCAGACAGTACAAAGGACGGAACCCTGTGGGAAAACCTGAATAGTTCACTGGGTGGAATTAGAAATGTATCAACTCCATCCTTACTCAATTGACAGAAGACACTCACAAAGCCTTTCACCTTAGTCAAGTAAGCAACATGTATACCTACACCTTCAGCATCCTCTGATAAGATCTCAACAAATTCATATTCATATTTCTGGTCAGTGCCAGTATCAGACTTCCATTTGATATTCCAGTTCTTAAAAACAGCCCAGGTTTCTCCCTTTCTTGGATATATCTTGTAGATACCTCTACAGGTTTCTTTTTCCCAACATAGCAAATGGGAAAACATAAGTCGATCTTCAGTGTTTTCAGAGTCCCCATGTTTGAACTTACCACAAGAAACCGGTAAACCTTCACTGACCCATTTTATTTCATTCTCATCATCTGGGTCTGGTTCTAGCCAGGTTATCCTCAGCTTGAACCCAGAAGAGAAGACTTTCCTGATCCGAGCATAGAATCTAGGCAAGGCATCCAGCGGATCATACAAAGCCCAAATCTGCCCTACTGCAAAACACCCTTCTTTCTTATCTTTGTCAAAGTCATTAAACTCTGGCTCAGGGCATGCTAAAAGCCGGGCCTCTTCCTTTTCAAATTCTTTCCCAATTTCCTTCTTACCATTTGGTATGCTTGCCTCAAAACTTTTACCTTCTCTACGGTCCATTGCTTTCTTATCTTCTTTCACTTCACCAGCTAAGCCAGACTGATTTTTGTGAGTAGACTTGTATTCTTTTGGCATTTCTTCACCATCTTCAGTTTCACAGGGTGATCCACTTCCCTTAGCCTTTTTTGGATGACTAACCATGCCCTCCTCATCGCTTAAATTTTCCATATAAGAAACATGTTGCTTATGCCTACCAGATCTTCGCACATTTTGCTCTAATTGAGAATCAAACTTCTTTCCAGCCAGAACATCACCATTGTCATCAACCACCTTATCCTCTTTAGACTCACTGCTGCTTTCACGAGATTCAACAGTTTGCTTCCTTCCTCTTTTACCATTCACCTTTTCCGTTCCAACCTCAGAAGTGGGAGCTGCATTTGCAGAAAAGGCAGTAAAAACATTCTCAGCAGTGAAATACTTTTGAGATCCTTGATCAACTTTGCAAGCACCCTGATTCTGAACAACCCTTTGTTGAGGAACTTTTGGCTGACTCCTGTTACTTGCCTGTGGAACTGCACCAGAATCATAGGCAAAGAAGGTCTTGTTGCAAGTTTGACAATGAAGAGATTTGTGAAGTAATTCTGTATGATATGGGTGCCTAACTGTACAGTGTGGACACTTGGTCCAGAAAGTGGCCCGGTCATTGGAGAACCCTGTTTGAGTTGGTTGCTGTTGCGGCTGTTGCGACTTCTGTTGAGAATTCAAGCCAGGAAAGTTGGCACGAAAATTATTCTGAGCAGCTGTTGCATGCGGGTACCAACTTGGCTTCTGTGGGGGCCGACATGCTGCTGCTGGAGCTGGTCTATTAACAGTCACTTTGCGTTTCATGTCATAGGCAGATCTTTTACCTTGATCCAAAAGAGTTCTTTGTGCATCCGAAATCAGCTTAAAAGCAGCTTCCGCACCAGGAAACTTATTCTTATCTGGGTGAAGTTGTAGGGCAAATTTTCTATACTGCTTCTTGATTGTAGCTTCATCAGCAGTTGGCTCAACCTTAAGTATGGCATACCAATCCATCTCATTACCAAACAATTTTTTATCAGCAGCACAATGCACATCACACACCATTATCATCTGAGATATATTCTCCAGATCCTGAAAAAGTTTTTGGGCTTTGGCTGCAACTTTAAGAGCACCTGAAAAATCCTTATTTCGCATCTTCTCCTCCGCAATATCTTTGGCCCTGATGGCCTCTTCCTTGTTGCAGTCCATCAGCAATAAAATCCAGACTGGAGATGGTTGAATCAGTTTCAGAAACAAAAAGAGCTAATGATTGATTTAATAGACTAACGTAATTAAATTATAACAGACATCTTGTAGTCTTCCTCCAGGATCTCTTAACTGCCAGACAAGAAACTCATTTCCCACCCCCTAATGGTTCCTGCAGTAGTTTTATCAAATTAGACCAATTAAGAATCTAAATCTGACTAGGCCAAAAAAGGGAAGGAATTGAAAGCAATCAAACTATGATATTTCATAACGGATGTCAAATTTCACAAAATAAGTGGGTTTGCTTGCATGAAGACATGAATGCAAAGGCTCTAACAAATGAAGGATTAACTTTGAAGATGGAAGTGAGGAAGGAAACAAAGTACTAGCAGCATTCTTTCACATGAAGTTAACAAAATAATCACATCGAACAAACAAGTTAAGATTCAACTTTTACAATCAGAGGCTTCAAAGAAAAATGAAATGGTGATAGCTAAAATGTTATTGCAAAACATGAAAAAGAAAATGAAGTCTCTGTAATTCTGCAGTAACCAAACCAATCAAAACAAATTTCATGCTAGCAATCATGTCGACTTCAAAAACGCAGGAAAATTTTCGAAAATATCATCACAAGTAACCATGAAAAGCCTAAAATGAGACCATAGTACACATCCAAGAATAATTCAGTGAACAACAGAAAATTACAAATCCATGCATATCAATATGAGTTATAAAGTTCCATCTTTCCACATACCTTTTACATAATCATCACATTTTCCATTAACACTGCTATCATAATATCAATCAATATACTAAAGCAACAGAGAAACAAAAAAGATTCCCTCTTTCTAACATTACAAAATAGCAGAAATAATGGTCAAAACTTAAGACCCAAAACCCTAATTATAAACAATTTCAAACCCACAAAACAACTAAACAGAATTAAAAACCCAAAACCCAAAACCCAAAACCAAAATTGAATCCCAAACTTCTAAACCCAACAAAATAAAATAAACCGATTCCATAAGGCCCATTAATAAACATAAATGAAGAAACATGCATATAAGCAGTTCAATAAAGCAAAACCCAGAACAATGCTAGTTGGATTAAGTCAAATTTTCGAAAAAAAAAAGGACCCTAAAATCGAAAGATTGATAAAGGGAAGAACCCTAAAATTGAAAATTTTATAAAGGGAAGAAGCAGAGAAAAGGGGACTTGCCTCTAATTTGAATTCCAAAAGGGAAAGGTTAAAAGCCCCAAAGAACAGAGGCTCTTTGGGGGTTAGAGAAAGGGACAGAAACTGGAGGGGAACAGGACAATACGAATTATGAAATTGGGGGAAAATACAAAGTTCCCCAGCACAATTTAATTTCTATATTGCCACTGTTTTTTTATTTTTTATTCAATGCTGGATATGACCGTCATTTGGTCAAACTTAGGGGCAATTTGGGAGAATTCTTTTGCAAAAATGCCCTTCTGTTTTTGCGATTTATAGCATTAATTATCGTAGTAAAAGTGTTCGTGAACTGGACTCAAGCGCGTAAATTTACGTGTCAGACTCTACCCTAATTTTATAATATAATTTTTTTAAATATAATAAGATAATATGATACGAAAATTATACAAATAAAAAATATAAAATAATATAATTTAAAATTTTTATAAAAAATTATAATTAAATTTAATATAATTAAAAAATTATATTTTTTATATTGATACAAAATACATAATTTTTATATAAAATATAATACGAATATAATATTTTATAAAATACGTTGATACGATTTATCAAATCTATTTAAAATAAATTTAATATTAATATTAAAATGATATTTTTAAATTAATATAAATAACATCTAAAATTTTGAAATATATATATAAAATAACATATTGAATTGAATTAAGTTTAAATTTAAAAAAATATTTTTTAAATCAACTTAAAATAGATGAAATATATAAATTTTGACGAATTATTTAGTTCATCAATAATTTTAAGAAATAAAAATTATTATAAATTATTATATTTTTTAAAAAGTTTGAACTAATCTTTATTTTTATTTTTAAATTTACGAAAGATTTGAAGGGATATATTTTATATTATTATTACATTATACATTATTTAGCTCAAATAACTCAATGTTATATTACTCAATCACGAAAATGCTAAACTAAATCAAGCTTGGTTTGAATCATCAAGAAGATCAAATTAACGAACTTAAACGAGTCATTGACTCACTTGTCAATCCTACCCTCTCTTGTAAGTAAAGGAATCATATTCCTTTTGGGTTGTTTTAACTGAAAAAAAAAAGAAAAAGTGAAGTGAAGTTGAAAAAAAGACTGCTAAAATCTGAAGCCAAAGAACTCAGTTAAGAGGCACCAAAATTGTTATTTTGAAGCGACGCTCAAGTCAATATTGTATGAAAGGTAACGAAGGAAAGAGATGAAAGTAGTAAAGCGTGCAGAGGAAGTTTTAATGGAAGAAAAGTTCAGAGTTTCTAGTAAGATTTTTATTTGAAGTATTTGATTTTATAATTATGTTATATACGAGATTAAAAAGTAGTAATTCGATTGAGACAGTTGATAGTTAATAAGATATTTATATGAAATTCAAAAATAATTCACGTTGATAGACACGAGTTGTATTTAATAATTTTATAAATTGTATTTAATGATTATAGATAATTCGATTATTAAATGATTAATTTTGAAATAATTATCTTAACAGATTATTAATAAAAATTTGATTAAATTTTTTTATGAAAGATTAATCATTTTTTGAGATAAATAATATGATTGTCTATACATGTTTTATCTAACTGATCTTAAAATATAATTGTGTTAATCAAGCTTTGATCAAATTGATCAATTGATTAAATATAACAAATTGAACGGAGATTTGAATTTTAGAAATAACGAGGTTAAAAAAGTTCTTTCATTGCCTAAGTAGTGATCTTTGGGCAAGCTTTAGGGACCAATGGCATCACTATACTCCTTGGAATCAAATGAACATCAACTTATGAAGTGATTTCAATCAGTTTTCCTCATGGTTTAATGTAACTTTATACTGTATTATCCAGCTGATAGGAGAAACGTTGGTTATTGTAATAAAAATATGAGTTTGTCAAGACAGAAAAGCACTGATTTTTTTGCCTTTGAGCACTTTGTGAAGACATTAAAGTTATAACCTCAGCCAGTCAAGACCATAATGGAATCTCTGTCTGTCAGTAAAATGCAGAGCATGTGCATACATTTTTCAACCTTCTTTTTTTATATAAAATATCATGATCGGATATGTTGAAATTTAAATTTTATATAAAATTATAAATGTTTGGATTTAAACTTTAGTTTCAAACTCTAAAGGCTCTTCCACTTCATAGTTTGCTACTTGTTCTGAATGCCAACAATCTTAAGATTGGTTGACGTATGTATCACAGGTTTAAAGAAAAATCTTGAATTTCATATCGAATATAATAAAAGAATTATTGGGGTATATAAAGATTCACACCATTTTTGCCTTATGAGACGTATTTTGTAAGATAAAATCGTGAGGTCAGAAGGGGTAGAGCGGATAATATCTCACAAAGGTGTGAATCATGACGACCAAGTTGATTCGGGACGTCAAAAGGATGAATACCCGAATTTCGAAACTACGCGGGTTCGGATCTTAAGTCTCGATCCGTGACAAGTGGTATCAGAGTTAACCTTATATCGTTCGATTCACGTCGAGCACCTCGAAAAAAGTAGACAGAGTGACCAGCCTTCGTGACGAAGGCGTCACAAGGTTGGGTGCGGGGTGCGGGAGGAAGTCAGAGCGGACAATACCTCACAAGAGTATAAATCGTAACAGTTAGGTTGATTCGAAACGTCGGAAGAGTGAATGCTCGAATCCTGAAACAGCATGATTCGAAGCTTAAATCTCGATCCGCGACATAAGTAGATAGCTAAATAAGTAATGTGAATTGGTTTCTTCCAGGTTCCAACAGAAACATATATATATATATATATATATATATATATATAAAGATTGATTCAAACTTCGAAATTAGAAAATCATGGATTTCTCATTTCCAATTCAGTAGAGCTTAATATCTTACATAACTCTTCCGTATATGGATGTGAAATATTTCCTGAAACAAAAACTGTCACCCTATTTTTCACTTCAATCCAACTATAACCAGGCATTGAAAGCGTTGGGTTCCAAGTGATTGAATCTTTTTTGAGTCCTTTCGTCGAGCACTTTGCGAGCGCTTGTGATAAGGCCGGACTTTGAGAAAGACACGATCTTGGTCGAGAGTTGGTGCAAATTTGAAGGCATGTATCATGATTTGAAACCGAATTAAAAGTTTAAGGAAGACTGGTTAATCGACATAAAGACACGATTTCTTCGGAGTATCTCGTTGTCTTATTGGACTTGAGTTGCCTTTTCTTTCTTCGTTTGAAGATCACAAAAACTTAATGGTATTATTATCAATCAACACTTTTCTCATAGTACACTTTTTCATTTATATTTTCATGCCAGTTTCCTTTAGTAATTGAGGATTATATAGTGTTTGGACTTAATGACTCTTCTAATATAAAGGTTCAAAATTAAAAAATTAAAAATATCTAAGACCGAACATTTGATCTGATGATTGATGTATGCTTCTTCCGTGCTAAATTCCAATCCCCCATTCCAAAATAATAAATAAATAAATAAACTTTGAATTTTCTCTCCTTCCCAGCTATAACATCATGCATACTCACAGGTCATAGTTGTAGAACATCCTTCAAAATATCCCTTAGAAGGTACCATGAAATAATAAGTTCCCATGAAAGGAAAAAAAGGACAACCCTGTGTGTAAAAACTCCGGGTACACACGGATCTAGGGAAGGATCTATCATACACAGTTTTTCATTAAATTTTTACAAGAAGCTGTTTCCACGATTCAATTCAAACCCACGACAATCAAGTCACATGACAGCAATCTTAACAATTGCACCAAGGCTCCCCTCCTAAGTTCCCATGACAGAAAAATGGGTTATTGTGTAATACTACAATTACAAATAAAATAAACTATCATCACAATGCCCTCCCCAAGGAATGGTAAAAGAAACCAGCAATTGAGAGATGCTGAAGAAAAGAAAAAAAATTGCAGCACATAAAAGATTAGCCAAATAAACCTTGTTAATACTTTGACATAGTTTTCCGAAACTGCTCCTTTGGCGCTGCAGGGGGGCCATGAAAGAACAAGGGAAAATGAATAAATCAACTAAAACTTAAAAAAAAAGATGGTAAAATTATATGTAACAGTTAGCTTTCTTCTTACCTGGCAAACCAGTGAATCGCTCAAACTGTTCATAGGCTTGCCTAATGAACATCTCCAATCCGGAAACAATTGTGGCTCCAGATTCTTCAGCTTCTCTCAAGAGTCTGGTTATTTTAGGGGTGTAAATGGCATCGAAAACCAGTGAATAGTATTTCAAAACATCCTGCAAAAACAGAAATTGCTTAATTCTGTCATAGTTGCATGTCCAGATGTTTGCTGAACAAATCATTCAAGGCTTGTTAAGAGAGGAAAGACAATGCAAACTCCCATTTTTCTATTACGAAAAGGAAAAACAAGTTGAAGTGACTTCAAACATTTTTTGGGTACAAAAAAGGCCACAATCAGGGATATGGGAAGAGATTGCAGGTGCTGGGATTTGAATCCCGAACTTGCTAGATGTCACTTTATAAGGGTGACTGCATGAACCAACTAAACTAAATTCTGGGTTCAACTTCAAACATTTTCAATTAGGATGTGCCATTCATAAGAACAAAAGTGCATGATAGGATGGTGAACCTTGGGTATCGGTGTTTCATCGATATTTGGTTGCATTCCAACGGATGTTGTGTTGGCAAGAATCATGCCCTCCTCTGGATGGAAACGAACTAAATCAGCAAGAGACAAAGCATCTCCTCCAATTATGTCTGCATGCTCTTTAGCTCGTTCTTCAAGTTAAATAGATAAAATAAATAATAAATCTCAAATTACCACCAAAGTAAAGGAAAAAACTAGAAAGGAAAAATTCTTTGCTAGATGCTATGCCAAGAAGAAACAGCCATACCATAAGTGCGATTGGCAATTACAACTCTAGCTCCTTTTTGTTTTGCACCATAAGCAAGTGCCTTTCCAGCACCACCAGCACCAATAACTACAAACAGCTTACCAGCTAAGGGCAAATCAGCAATACCGCTTATGTTATATCTAGCTGTCAAGAAAAGATGGGGATAAAGATCTTCGACCAAAAAAATCAATTAAAAACTACATAGCTTAAAAAGGACAAGAAACCTCGTAGTCCATCCTCAATAGCAGAAATAGCACCAACATAGTCTGTATTGTAACCAAATAACTTCCCATCACTTTGACTCCTTATAATGCAATTAACAGCTCCTATGGACTGTGATTTTTAATAAAAAAAATATAGATCAATCATGCATGGCTGTGATGCAAGGAAAATGCTCAGCATCTCAAAGTTAAATAATCGCAAACTACATAGATGAAGATGGAAATATTACCATTGCTAGACTAATAAACCATCAATTACCTTAGCAACTGGATCTACCTCATCACAGCACTTCACTGCGGCCTCCTTGTGAGGAATTGTACAGCTGCATGTGAAATAAAGTTATGCAACCACATTATTAAGTACAAAAGTGCAGTGAGCCACTAAAGCACATTCATCTTGCAACATATGCCATATGAAACCAATGTACAAAGTGTAATATCAGGCTAAACCACATAAGAACTTAATAAATCCTTTCGCCATTCTAACCTGTAGTGTGGCACCATATGTTTAACTACGCTAGAGATTAGAGCTTGTTAAAACCATCACAAGAGCAATTATGCAAACATAATGAAGTTTATGTGTCAAAAATGAAAATGTCTAACAGGGGAATGAACCTGAATCCAGCAAAATCAGTGGATGAGTAAGTCTGGAAAAACTTTGATAAGTCATCCACTAACAAGTGGACATAGACCCCATTGAAACCAGCTGATTTGAAAGCTTCATTGTACAGCATAGGTGATTTGCTGTGACCAACAGGCTTCCCAATAACTCCATACACTTTAGTATCAGGACCTAACTGCCTGAAATTGTAAAGATTCAACAGATCTTCAATGGTTGGTTGACCAGGAGCTGAAACAACCCCTGCCTCAAGAGTTCCAAAAGTAAGATAGCCACCAAATTTTGCACAGAGAATCCGTGAGATCAACCCCCTGTCACCCATAACAATTCCAATTATAGGAACCTGAAAATTTCAGCAACGAATGAAGACAGTGAATTTAACCATAGGAAGAATCTCGGAAAACATATAATGATCACTACTGACAACTAATGATTATATATAGGAATAATGCAAAAGAGAGACTAAAGAAAACAATATATACTATACTCACTGCAGTAAACAAATTCAAGAAAGCATTGCATTTCTTTTTACTGATGTCTAGCTCAGATAATACTATAAAGAAACAATCCTTTTGGTTACTCTCATCAGTATGCAAAAGTTTTGGCATAGATTACTGAGCACTTTACATAAACGCTATGGCTGATGCTGCTGCTCGGTTTTCAAAAACCAGACACGGCGTTAACTAAATATAAATCTACTCAAGAATGCACATCCTAATGCTCTTCTAAACTTTATTCAGGAGGTATTTAACAAATTTTTCTCATCAAACTAGGTCAAGTAATCATTGTAACGGAAAGATTCTGACATATTTCAGTTAATGGGAACAGCCTTCATCTAAAGCCATTACTTGTTTAATCAATTCTTTGATAACCCACCATGTCACAGTTAATCCAGTCATTTAAACAAAATGATAACGTAGAGACTATATGATACTGTTTCAGATTTATATTCATGGCATTTATGCTTCTTACTTGAGAATCCACAGTTATCTGAAAAATGTGTGCCACATCAGTGATCTCCAAGGCTGTTGTCGCTATCTTCACTATATCAGCTCCAGTCGATTGTATTTTCACAACAAGGTTGCCAAGCTCCTCAACAGATGGAGTGTTTTGATAGTTGTGAGAAGAAACTATAACTTTTATCTTTTTAGGCTTCTTTCCATTAATGGATTTTATGAAGTCATGAGCAACCTTCAAACAGAAGCAATAACTATTTGCATCACTAACAGTAATAAGTCCAGTAGACTTTACAGTTTACACTAAATAATTAGATACAAAAGATGTCATGTTTCAATCAACTGTAAGAAACAAGCACTATACAATTCAAGTTTTTTGAAGCTACATTTTAGTGAGAAGGAAAACCTTAAGCTCCACATCAATGTAATCAGCCCCTAGCTCCATGGCTAATCGAAGTACATCTAATCGCTCTTTCTCATCACCATCATACTCACCACCTTCCCATACTGGTCTGCAACACAAATTTAGAAAAAGGGTCATAATTAACAACCCTGCAACAATAGGCAGACAGTCTGAAAATTCTCAACACACTTTCAATATTACAATTTATGAAAGATCCTAACATGGGTAAAGAGGAAATCCCACAAAAGAAGGAAAAGAAAAAACACCCATTAAAAGTTTCTTCCTACTAAAGCAATAAAGTTGTACATTTAAAAAAAAAAAAAAGAAGGAAAAAGGAAAAAATCCAATCTTGAAACCTGTAGGTGAAAAGTGTAGGCAAAGGGCATTCTTTGATTAAAACTTTGAGGTCCTCATAAGGATTGAAACTCTTTAAACAATCCAATCTAATTTCCACAAGATCAGCAGTACTATCTTTAGCTTTGGCCATGTCAGTGACCATCTTATCAATGGAATCAGCCATTATTGGAGTGCAAATCAGCGTGCGATTCTTATTCATCCCTCCTCCACTTTCCATTTTCGAACCAGCAGCAGATGAAACAAGCTATCAAATTGAAACAGAAGACAATTAAAAACCTTTCTCTGTTACATTTTAGCCAAAAATGAATTGTAAACGAAAAGTAGGAAAGTTTACAATAGGGTTGAGAGTGTCCATTTGGCGAAGTGGAGTTAACCGTGAAAACTGAAAGGAAAAGAGAGTTCGGCAGTTTGGTGTTAGTCAGGTAAGTCGTGGTTGGTGGGACTGTGGCTGTGAGGAGTATTTATGTTTTTATAGGATGAGAAAAAATTAATTTGAACCCCTAATATTCAATTCAGGTCGATGTTTTTTTTATTTAGTTCACATTAAATTTAAATATTAAATATATATTAAATTTGGATTATATTTTAGAGATATGAAAAATTAAAAAAAATTAAAATTGATTTGAATTATATATTTTTTAAATTTTTATAAAATAAAAATAATTATTTTATATAAAATTTTATTTAAATATATTAAAATTTTATTAAAATAATATATAAAAAGCAAAAAAAAATTTAAAATTTAAAATCTATCAATTTGAATGATTTCTAAAAACATCAAAAATTCGAATTAAATTTTAAAATTTTATAATATTATATATTATGATAAAATAATCAAATCAAATATGATATGTATCCTTAACATCCATCAACAATCTCTTTTAGTGAGTTTTTTCCTACACGAGTTTTACGTTGCTGGTTTGATTTCTTTGGAGTTGGGGGTAATTTTCCATCATGCTTTTAACCTTTCCTAAGAATATTAACTTTTTTTGGTACAATTCTCTGAATATAGTTGATTGAGAAAGATTGGTTGGTGGGCAGCACTCTGGGATAATTGTAACGCATGAATCACGATTTCTTATCAAGAGCCATATCCGAGTGCTTTGGAGTTTCTGTTGTATTTTCCCAATCAAATACTAGAATAAGGCCCGTAAAACTAAATAATATAAGTAAAATCATAATCGCACTCTAATAAATTTAATAATTCACGTATTTGTTTTATATTATATAAATTACGCAAATTATTATATAATAATTTATATAAAAATACCTTATCATAATTTGTATAAACACATCAATCATCAAATATATTTTTTTAATTTTTACAAGATATATTTAAGTTACCAGATATATCTATGGATACATTTATAAACATCAATCACAATAAATTTTTTTAATTTTTACCAAATAAGCATACACTTTAACATCTTTTTTCCACATCATTTTCATTTTGTCTCGTAAAAATTATCAGATCAATCCTGCAGTGAAAACCACTTATCATTACTCAGGAAAAGCCCCCTGCTCAAATCCTTCATAAACGTTTGATCCTCGATGTAAAAACTCTTCGTGGATGATTTGACCGCTAATATCCCTGCCAAACTAAGAAAAAAAGGGGGAAAAACAGAGGAAGATCAGCGAATAATTACTTGATTATACAGCTCGGCATTTCTCTCTAAATTCATTCAAGCATTGGAGAAGCCAGTTGAGTAACCAACTATTTTCTAATGCTAAGGCTTAAAGCTAAAGAGCAGATGTACTTACAACTATGATGAGTTCAGATAAAATGTCTATAAATTTGAAATAATGATTCAGTGTGCCAATGCAAAGGGGATCAAAAGAATGACGCTTCTGACCATAACAAAACTCTACCTTCATCATCCAAGGTAAATCTATGCATTAGTTTCATCTGTGCACGGCGAAGGAACTTTTGTTTCTGAGGAGTCTATTTCCATATTGGAGACATCAGCACTGTGAACCTTAGGCTGCTGAGAAGCCTCAGCATGATCTTCCACTTTTGTTTCAGTGGGGTCTATTTCCATATTGGAGACGTCAGCACTTTCAACCTTAGGCTGCTGAGAAGCCTCAGCATGATCTTTCGATTGGAGCTGAGTTATAACATGATCATTATGTCTAAGCTCTGGATTGGCAGATTCATCAGGGATGACTTGTGACGAGGATGGTCCTTCTGTGGGATTTGATTCCACATTGCAGCCCTCAATAATATCAACCTTAGACCTCTGAACAAGCACTTTATCATCAGAATCGCCAGATTGCAGTGAAGATGCAAGTGCTTCTGAGGAGTTTGGTTCAACAGTAGAAGCCTCAACATGGTCAGCCTCTGTCCTTTCTATTCCTGGGAGCTCTTGAGATTGATCTTTTAGAACATGCTCTCCCTTTGGTGACTCCTTGGTGGTAACTTCTGATAAAGTTGCATGTTCTTCTGAGGGGTCAACTTTTGTGTTTCCAACCTGAATACTATCACCTTCATTACTTGCAACTCCTACTTGAAGATGCATTTTACTGTGATCTCCTGGAACAAACTCCTCTGCAATATCTTTCTCCATGGATGCTTCCATTTCCAATGGGTTAACATCCCTGTCAACGTTATTGCCTCCAATACTCTCAATTCCCAAAGAGGGATTCACCTCACCAAGATCCCCAGGTACAAAATCTACATTAGCAGATTCAGCATCAAAATCCTTCAAAGAGGATGATGGTTGTCCAGAGGGTTCTGCTTCCTTATTGCTAACATCAACAGAATTGCCATCTCCCCCAGCCGATGCCCATTGCAACTCATCATCTTTTGGCATAAGTTCTATATTAGTAGATACAGAAGCAACCAAGTGGATGGGGTCTGATACCGAGTTCCTCATATTTTCACTCCCACTAGAAGGACCATCCACATTATCGGAAGCCTCATCCAAAACCTGATTGTTGCCTGCTGCCATATCAGCCACCAGAGAGGCAGCTCCATGATCATCAAATTTTTGGGAAATTTCTGGACCACCAATAATGGCTTCATGACAGCATTCAGCAGCTCCGGCTTCTCGGCAATAATCACCAAGTGAATGTGATTTAGTGGAAATATTGAGAGCCTCAAGGCTTCCTCTCTTGGTTGCAGAGGTTTGTAAAGACTCTTGCAAAGGTACTGTTTCCTTTCCGAATTCATTCTCAGTAATAGCAGGAAGCTCCACCATGCCTGAATGAACAGGACTTGGAGAAATATTTGAAGTCATAGGAGGAACATCATCAACATCAGGCCTCAAGGATATTGCAGCACTTCCAAGGGTTTCAGCATTAAGGGCAGGAGATGATTTCAAAGAAGGCTCTGCTTCAAATTCAGAATTATTCTCAGCCATAGCAGGCACCTCCACCATACCTGACTTAACTGAACAAGGCTCTGATTCACATTCAGATTTGTTCTCAACCATAGCAGGTGCATTCTCTGTGCCTGACTCATCTGGACAAGGCTCTGATTCACATTCAGAATTGTTCTCAAACATAGCAGGTGTGTCCACCGTGCCTGACTTTTCTGGACAGTTGGAAATAGGTAAAGACTCTCTCGGATGGTCAGTAACATCATGCAATTTGATGGAATGCGAAGCACCTTCAGCACTTTCAACATTGTTAAAAGAAGATTCTAAAGACTCTCTTGCAGAAGATTCTGATCTGTTTTCAGACGGAATTCCAGTCAGATCAGGAAGGCTTCCAGCAAGTGCATGATCTGAACTCAAAGGAACTACAGCAGTCACTCCAGAATAATCACAAGCAACAATGGCCTTTGAAGAATTAATACCAAGCACATATGACTTTGAAAATTTCAAGGAAGCTTTTTCTTTGTCTTCAGAGCTGGCCACATTAGGCTCCATCAAAACAGAACTAGGTGGGACTGCTCCAGAAAGATTACAAGCATCCCTCGCATTTGTAGAGTCTATGGTGGATTCAAGGTTACTAGCATTATAATGAGTCATTGCCAGAGAATCTTCTGAAGAGATCTCTGTTTTGTTTTCACAACTATTTTGACCCAACTGATGAAGGTCTACCTTACTAGGAGATGCCACAGATAACTCTATTTGATTGCTAGAGATCCCAACAGTAAGGTCAGTGCTATCTCCTTTAGGACTTTTTGATCTCTGGGAAGCAAAATCTTCTTTCTCGCTAGCATTGATATGAACTTTACAATCAAGCTCCATGCTGCTCTCAGTTATTGAGATTTCACAGGAAAGCTGTCTGAAATCTGAAATGTTCGCAGGGCCAGTAGTAGCCTGACACTGAGGTACTGAACAAACACTTTCTGTAATAGGGTTCATAACCACAACAGGAGGTTTCTCCTCTGACTCGTTTGCATCAGCTTCTGTCCTGGACTGCTCAATTTTCTTGTCCTCTAAACAATCAGAAAGAGGAAGTGCTATTTCCAAAGATGGCATTGCTGGCTCAGATTGTGTTTCCAAGGGTTTAACTTCAGCATCACAAACTTCAACATAATCACCCTTGGTAGTTTCAACTCCTGCAGACAGTTGCTTACCACCACCAACTTCTGGAGCAGGATCCCTATTAGGCAATTCAGCTGTAAAATCTTTCAGAGGGGGCACTTCAATCAGAGAGAGATCTACTTCCATATTATCAATCTCAACACCCTTACCCTCCCTATCGTTAACCACGAGGGGTTGTTGTTGCAAGGCCCCATCATCTCGTGGAACAAGCTGTATATCAGTAGATTCAGTAGCAATAGAGAGAACAGGTTCTGGTACGGGGTCCCCCTTAGCTTCAGTGCTACCAGATTGACCATCCAAAGTAGCAGTCTCATTAAAAGTAGCAGTCTCACGGGCTCGAGCTGTATCTTCCACCGTAGAACTAATTCCAAAATTGTTCGAGTTTTCTGAAGCTTCTGGACATTCAACAACAACGGCTTCGGTAGAGCACCCCATAACGATAGAAGGCATGTCTGACTTGACAAAGGATAGGCCACTCAAATTAACAGCACATTCATCTGAAACCAATGTTTCTGCAGGAATATCATCAAGGCCAACGCTGCTACTATTTCCATCAGAAGCTCTAGGAGATTCTTTCAAAGAAGGCTCTACTTTACTACTGGAATAAATTTCAGTCATACCAGCTTTTTTGGTTTCAGAATCATTACTAGAAGGCACCACCGAACCTGAAACAGACGGGACCATTCTGGAATTATCACCGGTATTATCAGCATTTGGAGATTCCTTAAAAGCAGGCTCTATGTTGGTTTTATCACTCTCAGCAGTTGGCAGGTCCATTTGATTGGGAGAGTCTGGTTGAACTATAGAATCACTTTGATCACCACCAGGAGCAGGAGTTCCTTGAGACACATCTTTCATGTCACCAGCATTAGAGCATGTACTATCAACCTCCATATTACTCTCTGTAATTGAATTTTCATTTAAGGCAGTATGGGTACTGCATTTGGGTTTCAAAGAATCAGCTGTCTGAACAGGGGTCTTAACCACAAGAGATGCATTGTCCTCCAGTCCCTTTGAATCAGCTTTAGTCTCAGATTGCTTTTTACATTTTTCTGCTGGAACTTCACAAGCTGCAGCAGCTTTTTCATGAGCTGGTATGCTGACAGCTGATTTACCATCTAAACTTTGGTTCTTGACTACCTCCTCAAATGCCTTGCTTGATAATGGTGCAGTAGGAGTATTCCTGCCCTCACTTCCAGGAGGTTCACCAACTTTAGTTTTTGGTGAGCAGGTTTCAGAGAAAATCTCCTTCATCACTCGGGCAACATCATTTACATCAGCAGTTTGAATTCGACTAAATGCTGGAATTGCACTAGTCACTTTTCTTTTTGAATCATGACCAACTGAAGCACCAGGAGAATGAACTTCAGAAGCATGTACCTGAGCAACATTGACCAGTTCATGAGGGCCAGAATCTTGATTACTCTTCCGTACAGTAGCTTTATTGACCAATAAATCCTTAGATCTATTCTGGGGTTGAGAATTTATTTTCAAGTCTTGGCCAGATGAAGTATCAGGAATAGCAGGTTTCCTTCCTCTACGCCTAGGTGCTTCTGCTCTGTTTGTTGTCTTACGACCTGGCCTTTTACTTTGAACAGATTCAGTAGGACAAGAAGGGACAGACTGAGGTGCTGAAGCAACAGGAGCATAAGTTGGAAAAGGCTGAGAGCTAGGAGCAATCTTTGCACCAGGAGTAGGAATGGTTTTATTGGCACCTTCTAAAGGATTTGATGTAGGCAGAGAATCCGTTGTAGCACTAGCAACTGAAGATGCTGTTTTCGCGGTTGAAATAGTTGAATGCATTTTACCTTCTAAAATTTGACTCTTTACCACTTCTACTGAGGTCTGACTTAATACAGGTATAAATGGCACAATACCAACTTGGTTACCAAATACCTCACCAGACTTAGCTTTTTCAGAGCTGCATTCAGGTAAAACCTCCGTAATCACAGAAGCCTTCTCATGTGCTTCATCATTTTGAATTTGTCCCACAGGAGGCCCTGCCAAAGTTTCTCATATTGAGTGCACAGTATAATATCCATTGAACTAATTATTAAAGATGCATCAATTTCTTCCAGATTAAAAAATGCAACATTCTTACCAATGGTTATGGCAGTACTATTATGCACTTCCTGTGAGCTTTCTGGTTGCTTGATTTGTGATAAATTATCATGTTCAGTAGAATGCTGATCCTGACCAGTTACAGCAGCAGGTGCATTAGTTCTATGTGCTTGCTCTTGAGTAACCTTTGTTGGATCAAAATAATCATTTTCTAGATTGCCTCTCATCACAATGACTTTATTTGATGTTTCTGCAGATCTACCCTGTGCTAGTGGACTCAAGTTTGAATCCTGACCAGAAGAAACATCCAGAGCAACAGCTGATATTTGTGCCTGTTTCTTTCCCCTACGCTGAGGTGTTCCTACCCCACTCTGAACCTTACGGCCTTGGCCTTTAACTTGGACAGGTAGAGTAGCGCAAGGAGGAGATGATTCAGCAATTGGGGCACCAGAGGGAGTAGGAATTGACTGAGAGTTCAAACTAACCCCTGCATCAGAAGGGTGACTGGTTCCACTAGTACAATACGCACCAGTAGAAATAGGTACAGTATTAGTGCACTCGACCATGGGAACACTGGAAACACTAGGTACAGTACCACTTATAGCAGCAGATCGACTATCTTGTGGATTAACTGATTTAATCTGAGATAGCTCATTTGGTTCCGGGGCAGGAACAGCTAAACCATCAACAGCAGGGCTGAATGCTGGCTCTTGTTTCTTTCCCCTTCGACGAGGTGCTTGTCCTCCAGTTTGAGTCTTTCGACCTTGTCCTTTTGATTGCACTGGTGGAGAGAATCCAGGTGGGTTAGATTGACCAGGAGTAGCTGAAACTGAGGGTGCACTTGGCTGCAAGTTCAGAGAAGCCCCTGCATTATTATGAGGATCAGGGGCAGGGGATGCTGATGAGCTAGAATATGCTCCTTTCTGTAACCCAATATCCACTTTACTGGTTCCAGAGGGTGCTGGAAGCACTGGTGTGGTGGGAGATTTATCCGCAGTTGCTCTTCTTGGCCTTCCTCGGCCCCGTTTAGATGGTGGTGTTGCATCTTTATTGTGCTGCTGTGACTGACTTGCAGGCTCCATTGGGAGTGGTTGTGACAGTGTGGGAGGTGGAGGTGGAGGTGGAGATGGAGGTGGAGGTGGAGGTGGAGGTGGAGGTAGTGCATGAGGATCTGTGCTACTAACAGTCCCCATTGAAGCATCTTTTGGCAGGTTCCTCTCAACAGCATCGTTCAATTTGGGGGATTCAGGTGAGTCAACTTGACACATTTTTTCAAACTCCTCCTCTGTCCATTGCTCTTCATATGATCGCACCTAATATAAAAGATAAAAAATGGTTAAGATTAATATAAATGAAAGTTCATACTTGATTAGAAAGCCGGCTGCAACACCGACCAAAGCTATAAAAAAAAAAGACAAGAAACAAACCTCTCTTGCTCGTTTGCCCCTCCCATATTGCCGAGTATCAAGGCCACCAAGGGATTCACTCTTCCGTTTTACCCCAACATTAGGCTGTACCCCTGTTGTTGGTATGTCATACAATTTCATTTCTTCACAAAATTCTTTCAAGTCATCATCAGTAACAAGACGAGATGGTAAAGGAGGTAGAGGCTTAGAGCCATCTAACCCTGATCCCAATACCAACTTCTTCCACTTTGCCTGCATGTTCATAAAAAATGGTATCAAAATAGCAGTAAAGCAACAAGACATGCATGTTGCTTACACATGATCAATGGAGAAACTGACAGTCTAAGAGACTTGTACGCATACCATCTCTTCTTCCCGCCTTTGTTTATCAACTGATTCAAAGACATCAATCTCAGACTCACTGTACCACAGAGACATGTAAAAATATATTAAGATCAAAATCATGCTGGTACCTAAAAGCTCAAACATATTATTACAAAGTAATTTTCATGTTAAATTAAGGCAAAAAAATAAAATTGGCTCTGTACAAAAACTCAGAGTATCTAAAAGAAAATTGCAGTGGTTTCCAACTACATGTAGCCTAGAGCAGAGAAAGCTGACTGCTCGAAATCTGTTATCTATATCAGGAACCCTTCACCAATCAATTCTAGATACACAACAACAACAACACAATAAGCCTTATATCCCATGCTCTAGGGTCGACTATATAAAAAACCAAATAAGAGAGTCAAGTTAGGTTGTAGTTTGAATCTTCCTGCACCACTCATTTCTATCAACAACCACCTTTTCATCTAATTCCTTAACCATCATATCATTTTTTATTACTTGCATCCATATCTTTTGTGGTCTACCTTTGGATGTTTTGATCTCTCCTAGATCTAGAGACTCAATTCTCCTAACTGGTGCACAACTAGGCCTATGTTTCACATGTTCAAACCATCGCAAACGGCTCTCTCTCATCTTCTCTTCAATTTGGACTACCCCTAATTTTTCTCAAATCTCTTCATTTCTGATTTTGTCTTTTCTAGTCTTACCACACATCCATCTAAGCATCCTCATCTCCGTTACGTTAATTTTCTTCTCATGTTGTTTCATAACAGCCCAACACTCAGTTCCATATAGTAATGCAGGCCTTATAGTTGTTTTATACAACTTCACCTTAAAGGCATGTTGCGATCACACAACACACCCGACCACTTCGCCACCTCACCCATCCTACTTGAATCCTATGTTTGACATCTGCTTTTATCTCAGTATCACTCTGAATAATTGAACCCAAATATCAAAACTGGCTAATCTTTGGTACTCCCTTCCATCCAACTTAATCACATTAGTACCCACTTCCGTGTGATTACTAAACTTGCATTCCATGTATTCAGTTTTAGATTTACTCAATTTAAAACCCCAAGACTCCAATATGCTCCTCCATAATTCTAATTTCGTATTAAGGGCATCAAAAGTTTCAGAAACCAAGACTATATCGTCGTCAAAAAACATACACCATGGCACCTTATCTAGATACACAAGTAAGATAAAATAAAAAAAATACCTGCGGGCCAACAGGTCATTTAGAGCATCATCATCTAACACCGGGGCAGCTTCCTCTTTCTTACACTCCCGCAGGAGGGACTCTAAGTACTCCCTACGGTCTTCAGCACTGTCAATAAAATTACAGAAATTTCCTTATGAAAATGAGCTCTATGGAGTAAACTAGAGCTCAACAAAAATCTTGTATCTGCTTGTGCTCTATGGAGAAATTTCCTTACAGAAACCCTCTTGTATCTGCTTGTGCTCTATGGAGTAAACTAGAGCTCAACAAACATCCCAATTTACCTTGTATTGTTGTCAAAGAAACCGGCAGTGATACTCTGGTTAGCAACTCCCAATTTGTGTTCAGCAGAAGCTCTGACTTGTTCTTCAACAGTTTGAACCTTATCACAGTATATATAATCAAACACTATTCAAGGTATAACACAACCCAAATGAAATAGGAAAAGATGAATCTTATAATAGTCAAAAAATACATTATAAAAGAATGCAAGTTACTATAAAAAAACTCGTACAATAACTTTAGAAAACAAAAAGGTACTTGACCCCATACACTAAAAGGTTAATAGGAACATACTGTTTCGAAACGTAAAACAAGCACATCCTTCTTCTGGCCAATCCTATGAGCTCTTGCTTGTGCTTGCAGGTCAACCTAACAAGGACCAACCAAATGAACCTAAAATTAAAACCAATATGGAAAGAAACACTAATCAAGTAAATGTAACATTCTATACAACCTGAGGATTCCAGTCAGTGTCGAATATGATCACAGTATCAGCAGCCTGAAGATTAACTCCAACACCACCAGCCCGAATACTGACACCAATGATCAAATGTCAGAACTACAAGATTATTTAATCGGTAGTAAAACAACAGACACATACACACGCACATGCAACCTAACAACCAGTAATTGGTTAGGCAAGTAATCCCAGTCTCGTACTACCTTCCAATAGATTAAGTTCTTTTCAACCTCCCCAAATTAATAAAACATTTGCCAGAAGTGTAAGGGTAATTTCCAACAGTGGGATTTGTAGGTGTAATTTCCAAAAAAAAAGTCCAAGAATTAACTTCTAAGCTCAAAAAGATGCCTAGTACATATTAACAATTCAAAATTTAAATCCCTGACCCCTTTAATGTCATCCCTACCATATATTTTCCCCCGGGACATAACTAGAATAAAAGATATTATTCTTGAAAATACGAATAAAAGATATTATAACAGGTCTGAGTTTTGATAAACTTCTAAACTAGAATTCTCCCTCCATACTCTCCTCCTCTACAATGTTCTAATCCCTTATCTCAATTCCCAAAAGAACTCTCATTTAAAAAGCCAGTGCAGGTCAGAAACACTACAAAGCATAGATGAGCTTTTTTTTTCTTTTCATTCTTTTTTTCTTTGTTTGGTGGGGTGGTTGGTATACTTTATCCATAAGACTTTTTTTGTGTTAGAACTTAGGAGACAATTACCTTAGTAAAAATATGAAAAAGGGGGAACCTTGTTGATTAAACTTTTCAATAAGTGCACCACGATCAGTCCCAGATGTATGCCCATCCAACCGTAGGTAGCGGTACTGTTTAAAGGTGAGATAGTCTTCCATAACATCAAGCAGCCTAGTCATCGTGGAAAAGAAAAGAACCTAAAATTTTCAAATTAAAAGAGTGAACCTTCAATGAATTGTTCTTCAAAATAAAACTGTAATATTTACAAACATAGAAGAAAGGTGAAGGTTCTTGAATCTAAAATCACAAATGGTCATGTTAAAACTGCTTCTTATGCATTCCACCAAGATTGAAAAGAACAAAGAGGGCTTAATCTAGAACTGCCAAATACAATCAATGGCACCACAACCTCGAATAAAGAGGAACAAAACAAACAGAAAGTGAAAGCACAATCAAAAACAGCATAAGATTTCCAGAATATACAAACAATATTGGTCAACAACATATAACAAAAAGGCAAAAAAGGCCCATTTTTACAAATTTTTATCCTAACAAACGACTAAAGTACCACAATGCATCAAAAGGCAGCTTTTACAAATTATTAGATCTTAGCATAAATGGCATAAGAAGATTTGCCTACCCGATGATCAGTTGCCTTCAACTTGGGGAGTAATCGATCTAGCATCTCAAGCTTGCCACAATGTCTAATAATTGGTGGCAAATAATGCTGTGGTATTAAACTATCAACCTACAAATCCAAAAGTTAGGTTTTGTAGTACAGGCAAAATTTATACCAGCCAACTAATGATAACCTAGTTTGCTACAAGAAAATAATCAACTGGACTTATACTAATGATAACCTAGTTTGCTACAAGAAAAAAATCAACTGGACTTATATTATCTTCAACTATTGAGTGTTTCATCTTATCACAGAAAATAAAAAAAATAAAGTACCACTGATTATTTCCAGAATTAATTACAAAAAGGAGATAAAAGGTCTATAGGGAGCTTCAGAAAAAAGATCATCCTACACTTTCTTATCTTTTATCTTCCAGAATTCTTTATCAAAAGCAAAGTAAGCACTAGTAAAAGGAAAAAGGACATGCCTCCTCAACATGAAGCTGGCTGAGATATGGATGATTGCATATATTACGAAGCTCCATAACAGAGTTGTGCACCGATCGAGCCTGCAAAAGAAGAAAGATCAGAACTAACAAAAGTAAATATCCAAAATAGTGATGTGATTGGAGTTTAACTTTGCATGTCAACAAAAGAGAATCAAATGTCATAAAGAAACCTTTGAATTTCCCATTGCACCAAGATTTTCTTCAACCCTCTTCATCAAAAGCTTTTGATAAGCAGAAGCTTCACATCTTATAAGCCTCTCAATCTTCTCAGGAAGTTGATTTTCAACCTACCAAAAGAAATAAGAAGATGCACGACAATTAGCATACTAGAAATTTCTGAGTATCTTAAGTGTTAGTTTATGAAGAGACACATCAAAAAAAGCAAAGACAATCAGGAGTCAATTAAAACAAATGATCCCTAACATAATATAGCTCTTAATACAAACTTTATGCTTCAGCCTTCGAAGTACAAAAGGTCGAAGAACTTGGTGGAGACGGTTTATGATCAACAAATTTTCCTCCTCAGATAATAGGGCCTAGTCAAAAATAACGAGCATAAGCACATAATTTTGATGATAATGGAGTAAATAATCTTGGTAGCTAGATGGCAGAAGTTCAATACTTACTTCATCAGCAGAATTATCCCCATTACTCTCAAATGGTTTGTTGAACCACTGAGAAAAATCCTCTGATGAATTAAATATATTAGGCAATAAGAAATTAAGCAGTGCCCACAACTCCTCGAGATTGTTCTACACAGAAAGATAAGCTAAAACTTAGTCCTTACATTGCATCAACACCAAAAACTCGAAAAGAAACAGCAGGAAATACAGCTGAGTCAACAACAAGGAAGTGGCCGCATGCATCAATTAAAAAAGCTAAATGAAAAAATATATATTAAAAAATGTAGCAGAAAATTATGTGAAACCTGTAGTGGTGTTCCGGTCAACAGCAATCTGTGAGAGCTCTGATAGTGCTTTAAGTCTGCATTCAACTTGCAAGAAGCATTCTTTATCCGATGACCCTCATCAATTATAATATAATGCCAGTGAATTTTGCTCAATTTTGGTCTATCATGCTTGTTCATTAGATACTCATATGTTGTCAGGAGAATGTTGAATTTGTGATGCACAATCCTCTCCCTGTACAAGAAATGGATAACCAAGCTTACATGTATTTTAAAAGAACAAAAAAGTATAGGATAAGAAAGGTTCTTATTCATGTCTGCATGCCATTACTTGAATAATCTACGCCTCTCTTCCGGCGGCCCAGCATAAACAATTTTGAGGATCTCAGGGGCCCAGAAATTGATTTCTGACTCCCATCCAGGCAGAACCGAAGATGGTACAACTACTAAAAATGGTCCTCTATCATTTTTGCATTCCATTAGGTAACAAATAAGAGAAATAACCTACAAAAACATATAATATTACAAATGTAAAAATTTGACAACAAATTATAAAATAGACTGCAATCAAGAGAAGATTCAGAACCACCGATACCTGAACAGTTTTCCCAAGGCCCATTTCATCAGCAAGAATGCCATTCAGATGATTATTGTATAGTGAAACCAGCCACCTAAGGCCATTCATCTGGTACCTGAACATCAAAATTATAGTTTTAACAAATTTCAAACAATAGAATGAACATTGAACTCCATATGCCAGCTCTTCCGAATATATATATATATATATATATATATTGTTGGCAAAGTGCATATTTTACTCACTCTCTTAATTTTCCACCCTTAAGAAAAGTTGGTTGCTCACTGATGTTTTCTTTTATGCTGCAAAAAATGGTTTTAATGGCGAAACCTTCAGCAATTACAAATAATTCAATACTAATTAAGAAAAGAATTTTGAAATAAAATGACCTCAAGACATCCAAAGTTTCATTCATTAAAAAAATTAAGGAGAAAAGGAAGCAATGTTGATACCTATGAGCCATCAAATAGTACTTTTCATTGCTTTCCATATAATGCTGCAGAACAGATTGATGATAAGAAAAATTCAATATAAGAATGAGTAAAAACTTGTGGATAAGGAAAGAGAGGAAGTAATTCCAAAAAATGCACAAGAAACAAACTTGCCTTTGCCTCATCTTCATTCTCAATAACAGCGTCATTCTCAACAACACTGGCAGTTCGCATCTCATCCATATCATTCTCAAAGCGGCTTGCTATAGCCTTTGCATCCTGTAACTTGGATCCAAGTTTTTGAAGATATTTCTCGGTTTCTTTCAATAGTTGCTTAACACGATCTGATTTAGCATCCTGTAAAATATCAAGAATGATATTCAATAAGAATAAATAAGATGAAACACTTCGACTATTAAAGGCCAGTAAGCCTAAGCTAACCTGAACCATTCGCAAATAACCCTCCACATCATTGATTTTGAGCAAGTTAATCTTCTCTCGCTGAATTCTGTCAATCTTCTCACGATGTATACGCTCCTTTCTCTTATGGAACTCTTTCACATATTTATTGAAACCCTTCCAGCGTTCTCTCCTAATTTTAAACACATCATCCAGTCTTTCCCTAGGGATTCAATTTACCAAGCAAGTTAGAAAGGATGTAGTTTATTTAAAGCTACCAATAAAAAGAGCGGCATTTAATAGTAGGAAAAAGCAGAGTTGTATATACTTGTAAGCTTCTATCTCACTGAAAAACTCTTTCTGCCTCTCATGAATTCTCTTTTGTCGCTCTTCTTTCATTTTCTGCTCATATCTTTCAAGTTGTTTTATCCTTCTACCATGTCTATGTTTCTTGTATGATTTCAGGCGTTCCATATCATTTGTAATTGGTTTGAAAAAATCATTCAGAAAATCACTGCCAACATGTAAGAAGAAAATGTCAAATGAAAAATCATAAAAAAAATCAAGGAAACAACCAAACCAACTTAGCTAAGGGCTTGGCAACAGCAAACCAAGATAAGGAATACAAACGATAACACCTTAAGGAGAAATTTTATAAGTCAATTACCTCCGCAGGCGACGTTGGAGCTCTAATAATTGGAGTTTCTTCAACTCTATAACACTTTTAGTTTTTGCAGATATATCTTCAGATGAGCTCACATTTTCCTGCATGTGAATGATTAGTTGCAAAGACATGTGCACATCCAATGCTAAATCCATAATCAGACCATGCATTTCTTTGACCTCCCTAGTATGGGAAACATGATAAAAGTTATGCAAAAGGCACTGAAATAAAAGCAAACAACCACTTTGTTCTTAAAAAGGTACAAGTTCCAAGTTCCAACATATATGTTGGACAGTAGAAAATCATGAAAATTTGACATCATAAGGTATCAGGAAATGTATCAAAAATGAGTTCCTAACAACACAAATTCAGTTAGGAAAAAAAACTCAAATGAATATGCAATTTCAATAAATAAAAGAAAAAATCTCTCAAGATGTGGAAAGTCCTCATTTGGCTGATTTACCTACAAGTTATTACACTTTCCAGTGAACTTCTTAATTATTTCAATGCAACAAAAGATCAATTTCACTCAAGTTTGCAAATTTAAGTACTAAAATCACCCATTTCTAGACAATTAGATGTGTTTACCCTTTTAGGATGAATCTTTTTGCTATCTTGGTCACAGACTATGAATGCAACACCGCTCTAAATTCTAAAGCCAAATATAAAACCCTTCAGTTTGCTTTCACAAAAAGAAATAGACTTGAGAAAGAAAGAAGACCTCCAAAACTTTTTTGTTTGAGAGGAAATGAAGTACATAAAGAAATAAAAGTGGAACGTTGTTTATTAGGAGAATAGAAAATATGTTGCATTCTTTCTTCTTAAAGTTTAACTTTCTACTCAAGTCTCACTCATTCTAATGAGAAATTTTCTGTTCATCTTGCAATCTTTCTTCAGCTTTTTTTAGTAATACAGAATATCCAGATAGGAGGATACACTTTTTCTTTGCTTTTTATAGCAGTGCACAAATATTAGAGCAAATAATAACTATATCCTTAACAACCCTTCAGGATGGTTTTTATGGACAAACCAGAAAGAAAAACAAGGTCATAACCAGGTATTAAGAACTTTAGAAGAAAGTTTGTAACAAACCTTTAATTTGGTGAAACAAGTAATAATTCTTTGCTTTGTTTTTTGCTGTTTTAGAGCCCAGTTCTGCTCAGCTAAGAGCTTCCGTCTCCGCTGATCCATTATCCATTTCTCCAACATTGTGTGCTTTGGAGAAGGCAATGAATCAGTTGATAAAGATTTATCTTCCTCATTTTGCTCTGTGGTAAAACAGACACCATTTCTTAGCATGTCATTAATAGGAATAACTTTGGACCCAGCTGGGATCAATCTTGTTTGAAATTCAGAGAATTTTGGATCCTCCGCACCAAGATCATGACATCACAAAAGTTGACTTCATTAAATCTAAAAGGCTTAAAGATGATTGTTTCTGTTCCAGCTACATTAATAGATAAGAAGATAAGTGACCATGAACACAGAGGATATTGATTCAGTAACATTACCAGGACTTCGAAACTGAGAAGGATCGGTATCTTTTCTCTCTAGCACTAAATCATGCTGGACAGCACCAGCTGGCAAAGATACCCTTGAAATCTCATTATGACAACCAATTCCAGACCAGCCCATCATTTCAGGGTTCACCTGCTTATTAGCACCCATCACAGAAGAGGCTAGATCACCCTTACCAACTCGCAGATGCCCATTCTCCATGCTGTCCACAGGGTTACTAACAGTAAAACCACCCTTTATGGTAGCAGAGTCAGGCTGTTGTGACAGTGTATTTATATATGCCTGTGGTTCCACTGTCTCTTGGCTCTGAATTTCAGCCTCTGCCTTCTTTGTAGCTAGAATATGTTTCCTTTCATCCACAATTGCTGAAAGATCAGAAATCGGGCCATTACTTTCCTCCATTCTTAATTTTTCTGCTTCTTTTGACAAGGAATCGGGCTCTGAGAATCTTCCAATAGAAGTGGAACTTGAAGGTGCATTATTCACCCTTCCAAACGGCATTGCAACTTCAGAGATGCTACTAAGCTCATTGGAAGTCTGCGCTTTGCCTCTATGGTCATTTAGTTCTTTGCGAGGGCCATCTGTATTGCCAACTGATGATTACCAAGTAAATGGATATAGACTTAATGAACAAATAAATAATTAAAACCCACCTTCTCTAGGAAATATGTTTCCAAGCGCAATTTCAAGATGCAGCTTCTTGGGCATCAACCTATTTCTGCAAGTGAAAAACCACAAGTTACACAGAAAAAAAAGAAAATCAACAGACCACAAAAAACTTCTTACCACATACACCCTCATTACAAATGGTGGCAAGAAATTACTACATACCTGAAAGCTAAAAAAACAAGGCACTGGGCTCTAAGTTGTTTCAACTGTTGTTCCTTGAAGGGCATGCCAGACAATGTGGCAGATTGGGAGACAAGAGACTTTCCAGGATCTCTTGGAGCCGTGGCTCTAAGCATAGTCATTTCTGAGGCACAATTTTGCCTGCCAACCTGCAAAAAAACATAACATAAGATGCCAGCAAATTCATTATAGAAATCAATCACATTCAAAGCAAAATATTGAGAAGCAGTCCATGTCTAATCATTGCATCCTGTTCTTCCCAAAAAGGCCATAATAGAGCCCCAAAATGGCACTGTTATTCTCATTACCGAAGCAATGGTGACTTAAAGAGGTGCATGGAAATAAAAAAATAAAACAAAATGACTACCTGAGCTATCTTATTTGTGCCTGCTAACATATTTGAACTCCCTCCATCATGTTCCAAAACTTTTCCAGCAGACAGTTTTGATAATCCAAGCTTCTGACTCTCAGAGCCACTAAGTTGGCCTGGATGCCAGAATGCTAGCTCTCCTGCAGGATATGAGTTAGATGTGGCAGGCTGCCCTCCTTGAACCTTCCCAAAAGCACTTGAAAGTTAAAGAATACCAACAATGTAATTGTTATCACCTTCCCTAAAATGAGTCATTATCAAATACTTTTACTCAATGAGAAGGGCAGCGGGAGAGGTTTACATCTGAGTGGGTCAGGCTAAAAAAATAAAAACGTGATCCAAGATGCCTAATAATGTACTCCACAATCAAGACCTAAATGGGTCTCCTGTATGTTTACAGAGAGAGAGAGAGAGAAAGAGAGGAAAAGAGCAAATAATACAGGATCTCATCAATAAACAGATTCTCTAACTCAGACAATCTGAAGCTAAGGTTTCTTTCTCCTTTTGCCTAGATAAAACTGAAAAAACAACCCCCGCCAATTAAACCCATGTCTATTAAAATATCTAACAAACAAACAGAAATTCTTCCTCTTTTATAATCTAAAGTCAATCCTCACCTGATACAAGAGATGCATGCATTGACTGCTGTGTAGCAATTTCTGCAGTCATGTTGCCAGAAACAACATTCGGAGGAAACCTGTTAAGTTGAGATCTGTCAAAGGGTAAGCCAGCCATGTTTTGATTCCATACACCCCTGGAGGAAAAAACTTCATGGGCACCAGGTACTCCCCCTTGCTGCTGTCCAGGAGCATTTTGAGTGGAAGAAACTTCCACTTCTTCAGGATACTTTGAACTAGGAGCACCTGACATAAAATTGCTAATGTTTGCCGAATCCACTAGGTTTTCTGTTACATTCTGACCATCCTGCCTACCTCTAAGTATTGATCTCATATTACCAGGTAAGGATGGAAAATACTCCATTTGGCCGCTACTTGGGACCAAGTTGTAGTTAGCAGGGCCAGAAGGTTCAGCCTTATTCATCTTCCCTTTCCTTGGATCATTCACAGCATTACGGGAATCAAGTTGCTGGGAATTGTCAAAATTTGGTTCTAGTGGTGATGATGAATCACCCCTCCTTCGCTTAGTTGCAGACCTTTTATTATCACTCGGATTCATTTGTTTGTCTTGTGATTGTGAGTTAGCAGACCGCGTGTCCAAACTAGATGGGCTCTCATGATCAAAAGACTGACTACTCCTATGAGTGCCAGCTCCTTGATAATACTCATGTCCAGCAATGCTTGGGCCAACAGGTGGCCTGCCGGATGAAAATGGATCAAACTTAGGCATCTCATTTTGGGCCAATCCTGCTTTAGAATCTTTTGGAACTGCAACAGTCTGAGAAGATCCTGGACAAAAGAGTCTCACATAGAAATGGGTTAGTTCAGCATGCCACGCAACAATGAGGACACATCTGTAAAAGGATTTACCATGAGAAGCTAAATGAATCTTGATTGACAGCAATTTACCAGCATATTGTCCCGATGTAGAATCCACTGTTTGAGACCCACCAGTTAGAGGAAGCCGTGATGACTTCAAAGCCTCAAGATCAAGACCATGTCTACTGATAACAGTCTCCATCGCCCTTAAATAAAGAAAATTACGTCAGAGAAACTCGCAGAAAATTTTTGAGAAAAGGGTGGATATCCTCAGTGAAAATTTTACTGAAATAAATATCAAATTTCAACTTTAATTCAAGTATGTGTTGCTTAGTACTAAATTAAACATGGTCCTATCCATAAGGAGAAGAGTAAGAACAGCTTGGTTTGGCGCAAAAGAGGATGAACAAAAGTAAAAAACCATGTTTTAACCGAGACCTATATAACTTATGTCCAACAGTATCCATGGCGGGGCAATAAATGATCTGATAACACAATGGAATACAATTAATTGCACAACTATCTTAATAAATACCAAACTAGTTCCACCTGTCATTTCACTATCTATAAAATAGAAGGCTCTCAAATCCCTTTAAAGGCAACCAAAACTAACAATTCAAGTGTCAATTGATAATCAAAGCAAACAGTGCACAGTCAATTAAAATTATTTGTTAGATCCACTATTATCTGAATGAACTCAATTTGCTAATTGGCTATCTCCATATAGATGAAAATAACTTTGGCACAATCTCTTCCCAGGTTACAAAATCTGATAGTATTTTAATAAGAATTCTTAATGAAAATCACAGATGACAGATAAGTCAAAAACATTTCACCTTGATATTACTTGAAACGGCATTGAATGTTCCTTCCCACTAGATTTCATGTGTTGCAATATCTAAAACACTCACGGATGATAAAAATCAGCATCCATATAAATGGTATTAAAATAAAATTTAAAGCTCACTAGTGCACAACAAACACCAATTAATTGACCAAAAAACTATACATACCACATAAAGTTTTGTTGCCAGCTTTTCCGGCTCATCTTTAGAATCTTGAATGAGTTTGTGTAGAAACTTCGCCGCCTCCAACTCAACATTATGCGAAGAAGACGCCATATCCTCCTATGAACTACGAAATTAACAGCCAATAAGCAAGTAAAAGTTTATCAGTCACAAGTCGCAACCGATCAGACTTAACTCTACTTTTTCATACCAAATTTCCCCTTGGATAACAAGAGTAATTACTAACACTACTCTAATTCCGAAGCCTAATCAAATTTTAAATTCCATACGTATAATCATAATCAAGCTGCAAATCGATAAATCAAAACAATCAAAATACGGGCAAAAAAACGGAGACTTAAAATTTCTTAGTTCAGTAACAGCATTTTTATGGAAGTATATACGAAATTAAGCTGAAAATCAGTAAATTAAGCTCCAAAACTATCTCATCACACACTGCAATTCGAACTACCGAACAATTTGTTTGTTTCTCGAGAAATATTCGTCTGTTTTTTGCGGAAAATTTATTTTAGCGTGAACAAAAAAGAAACCCTAAGCAAAGAAAATTTGGCAAGACAAAAAGCGAAAAAAAAAATTACCTGATCGAAGATCGAAGAGTTTAGAGACCAGCTACATAGAGAGAGTGATTCGAATGTTAATCTTCTTTACTAAAGGAAAATAAAAGGAAAAAAAAAAGGATTTTTTTTGTTTCACTTTAACAGGAATGAGAAAAAGCGAAGCGTACAGAAGGTTCCCCTCTCCAAAACAGGTACCTTTTCACTCCCGCGTGCCGAGTTTCTTTATTTGAAATTACCTATTTACCCCTATACACCTTCATTGTACCCTTATCTAGTTTTTGGGCCATGGCCCACGAGTCCTTCTACCCATCCGATTCTTTACACTCCACTTTTTTTTTTTTAGTAAGTAAAATTATTTAATTATTTAAATATAAATTTTTAAAAATAAATTTTTTGAAAGTTATAAATTTTTATAAAAAATTATATAATTTTTTAAAAATATATTTTCAAAATATTATAATTTTTTTTCAAAAATAAATTTTTAGAAAATCAAATGACTTTTTAAAAATTTATTTTTGAAAGATAGTAAAAATTTAAAAAATATCTTAGATAAAATTTTTACCATCTCATCTTTAGAAAATGAATATTCTAAAAGTCATATGACTTTTCAAAAATTGATTTTCAAAAATTTATATGATTTTTAAAATTTTATTTTCAAAAAATTATGAGAAAAGTAATTAAATACTTTTATTTACAAAATATTTTTACAAAAAAAGATTTGGGATATGAAGAGAAAAAATAGGAATGCATTTAATACCTCTCTAATTAAATTATTGAACTTTCTTTATTTTAAAAGGAAATAATATCTATCATGTTAAAACATATTTAAATTTTACTAAATAAAGTAGTTTAAATTTCTAAAATTTTCATGGATAATATTTTAAATTTTTTATTGCTAACAAGGCAAGTTGTATTTCTTTAACAATATAGAAACAGAAAAAAATCTAACCTTTATGTTTTGTTTGGAGGAAAAATTTGTTAATCTATTTAATTATTAAATTAATAAATTTTTTATTTTTATTCTTCTTCATCTTATTTATCAAGTAAAGCCTTACTCTTTTATTAGGAGTTTTGTAAAGTTGCATTAAAAAATAAATTAAAGCAAACTTAAAAAAGTAAATCAAAGCAATTTCTTTTTTTACCTAAATCTTTTTTGTGATTTTGAAAGAAAGAGATTGAACTCGTTTATTTTCGATACACTTATAATTAAACAAAACATTTGAATTATGCTTGACTAGTAATCTGCCATTGTTTCCCAGTGAGTTACCATTTTATGTCATTGTTATTACTTATGGCAAGTTCTAAAAGTATTTAAATGTAATGAAATACATAATTAATTGAATTGAATTTTATAAATTAAAAGTTTTACTAATATCACATATTGAATTTGTAAGGACAAAATGTATGTAAGCAAACATAAATAATTAAAATTTTTAGACATAACGTTGAGCACTAACATTTTATTCATAACAAATTTTCATAACTCGAAGATTCTTTATCATTATTTACAATTATCATTGGAATAAATTTATTAACAATTTTATATAAAAAGTAAAATAAAATAAACAACAAAATAAAAATGTACCTTAATAAACATTGTACCAAAAATGGATGATAAACTCCAAATATTGCTGGACTTAACACAAATAGACTAAGTTGGACCCAAAAGATGCAGTTAGTGCTAGTCAACAATCGAAGTGGGTCACTAGTTATCAATCAGGATGCGCCTAGGTCGAGTTTAAATGAGGTTCATAATTTTTTTTAACATTATAAAAGCTAAATTTTTTCCTTTTTACCTCATTTTCCCCTTTCTTCTATTTCTAAACTCTTAAAACTCTCCATTTTCTCTAAAAAAAATTAACACCCAACACATTTCCTAGAAAACTAACACCCTTTTTACTGTTATCATTGATGCACCATTGCCATCAGTCATTGCTCGCTAGTATCGGTTCTTCACCAAATTACATCGAAATGTTCCTCATTTCTTACTTTTTACACCTTTTCAGCTAATTTTCTCTAGAACCTTTTACATTTTCTTAGATCTAGATTGAAACTCATGGTTCCAACACCTCAAAATCATTCACCTCTGTTGCTCCAAAGGTTTCAATATCCCATTATGTTGTTTCCTTCATTAAGATCTTTTTCTATCTCAAATTTAAACTTTTGGAACACCTTAAAACACTATTAACCCGAAATGCCTCTTTCTTCCATTATATATTTTTTTATGATTTTTGGTTTTCTTACGGTATTTAGCTATTTATTATGTTTTCTTTTTGTTGCTTGTCTTGGTTATTTGTGATTAAGGTTAATAAATAGATGAGTTTTGAAATTTTAGATTAGGTAATAGTGGCCTCGAATTTGAGATTCAATGTGAGGTTTTGGGTCTTTTTTGGTATGTCTTTAATGGTATGTTGATGTTGGTGGTAATGGGTTTTTCTAGTAGTTAATGGTGTGTGGATGGTTTCGATTAATGGTGGTTTGGGTTTGTCTAGTGGTTAATGGTATGTGTTGATGTTTTTTTTTCTTATTTTATCATCTATCAAGATTTTTCTTTTTTTTTTTAATTTTGCAAATATAAGAACTTCATATTATCCTTTTAGGATAAAAAACCAGTTTTTAATTTAGGCTTCTATGTTTATAATTAAGTTTGGATTTTTTACTACTGTTAGTTAATTATCTCATTAATTGCGTTCTTAAATTTTTCTTACTAGAGTTTAAAGAGTATAAAAAGCCTAGTATGAGATGAAATTATTTTTTAAGCTTCCCTTGTCAATTTTGATCTTTCTCTTTCAGTCAAATACTTTTAACAAATTAAAAATCTCTTTTGTGTTCTTTTTAGATGCATGAATACCCTTAACAAATTAAAAATCTCTTTTTCTGTCTTTTTTATACAATAGTCAAGTAAGGATAGGCCTGGACACAAAATTATATATGTGTTAGATTGTATTGACATTCGAGAATTAGAAAAATTAACCTTATTATAACAATGGTCATATTTTAAATACTTTCTTTTCGCATCTCCATAAGCTTTTCTTTGATTTTGATCTAATTTTTATAAAGTTATTGGCTTTCCATTTATTGTAAAATCTCTTTATTAAATAGTATATTGTACTTGTATTGGCTATGATAGATAGTCTGCGGTATTATTGTTTTTAACCACCCTTATATGAGTCACATCCATAAAAAATTGAAGATGTTATAATTGAATTAGTAAAACTAACGAGTTAAAATTTGAAAAAAAAAAGTGTGGTATCTCATAGGGATTATGCATTAAAAATTAATAAAGAGTTAATTACCAAAATGATTCAAACTCAAAATCACATTGAAACAAATGAACTTATTTATTAAGCTAACATCTCGTTAATATAAATAAATGAAATGTAACTTAATTTGTAAATATTAGGATCATTTGATGGTCAAAATGTATACTAGTTTTTTTCAAGAAAAAGAATGACTAATCATCAATCCAAAGTCATTTTAGTCGTTAAAATCAAGTTAATGTGGCAAGTCAACCTAAATTCTTGGAATCCATATTAGTTTAACTAACTCTACATTCTACTTGACAACATGTGAATATGTTGACTTGTCATTCTCTTATTAACCATTTTCTTGCCATGTCAGGTTAGATTGGCCCCATCAACCCTAAATCAAACTCTGAGAGCTCGGGTCACTAAGATCCAAACACCTCATCCTTCAAGTATAAATACCCATTCACATCCTAGTATGGGTAATTAATTATAAACGCTCTCTCTTTAAATTTTTCTTTTTTATCTCTCTTTTAAATACTAATTTAAGTGTCGAAACACAATATTAAAGAAACCTTTAACCTTTATTATTGACCAATCTCTCAATTAATCTCTTATGATTTCATGTCTTTAGCTTCAAAGTCAAGCTTGACACTAATATTTTGGCACATTAAGTAAAGAGTTTCACTTAGTTGTGCTTGTAATGCCTCCAAGAAGAAAAATCACTAAAGAAAGAAATCATCTTACTATAATTGAAACTTATACTTAACTCAGTCAACCCAACCTAGACTAACGTTCGTAGGCTGCACTTACATTAAAACAATTTGAACTTTTACCCAACAGTTGCCATTATAAGAAAATAGGTAAACAATGATAGTTTTTTAGTGACGTTTTACCAATAAATGTCAGTAAGTTTCGTGTTTTTAGAAAGTTAGTGATGTTTTTATCATAAACACCACTAAATATTCATATAGTGATGTTTGTAATACAAAATGTCACTAAAGAGTAAGAATTAGTAGCATTTAAAACTAAAAATGTCACTAATCAATATAAATTAACAGTGTTTATGTCAATAAATGGCACAAATAAATTAAATTAAAATTTTTTTAAAAAATGGGCACACCATTTTACTAGGATTAAGTGGCGTTTATTAATGAAAATGTCACTATTTAGAATAATTTATTGGCATTTATTTTTTGAAAACATCGCTAAATTTCATTTTTTTTCTTTTTCATTTTTGAAGCCCCTTTTGCCTAGATTCCTTTTTTTTATTTTTTCTTTTTTTTCCCTTCGTCAAGCCCTTTTTTCACGCATACTTCTCTTCTTCAATCCATTTCTCTTCAGGTTTTCTCTTTTTCACACATTAGTTTTCCTCTTCTTCCAAAGCTTCAGGTCTAGCTATCTATTTTTTTCTTTTAGTTATCTAGTTTATATTCTGGGTTACAGTTTGTTAAGCACTTGAAAAGGAATTTATTTCTTTGAATCATTTAGAGTTTGGGGTTTGCTTTCAACTATTAAAAGTTTATTTGTATTTTCAAGTAAATTTCTTTTTTCCCTTCCCTTTTGCGGCCTTACCATTAAAGTCTAGGTTTTATTTTATTTTTTTAAATTCCCATACTATTTTTTAGCACGATCAAATTTTGTTGAAAGGATTTTTGTTGTTGTTTTCTTGGGTGATTTGGATTTCTAGCTTTATTTTCTTAGCTTGGTTTGTTTCTAATTAATAAAAATTAAATAAAATGATATGTTTTTACTTGGATTAATATTCATTTACTTTGAGTTTAGGTTTACGTAAGCATGCTCTAACAAAGAATTGTAAATGAGTTTTTTATTTTTATTCTTTTTTATTTTTTATTTTATTTTCTAGATCTTGAATTCATTGCTCTCTTCTATCAGTGGTTATAGAATTTTGAATTGGGGATATGAAAAAATTCATGTGTTTTTTTTTTTTTTGC